GAGTAGCTGGGATTACAGGCACGCGCCACCATGCCCAGCTAATTTTTTGTATTTTTAGTAGAGACGGGGTTTCACCTTGTTGACCAGGATGGTCTCGATCTCTTGACCTCGTGATCCACCCGCCTCGGCCTCCCAAAGTGCTGGGATTACAGGCTTGAGCCACCGCGCCCGGCTTCAGTGTCTTCTTTAATGCCACCAACGAATATTTTTTTCACAGTTAAGTGGGCACCTGGTCTTTGAGAATCTTCTCTTGAGACAGCTCTCTTTGGTTCCACAACTCTTCCATCCACTTTGTGTGGCCTTGCATTCACGGCTGCATCCACTTCCTCCACGGTTGCATACGTGACAAACCCAAAGTCCCTGGAGCGCTTGGTGTTTGGATCTCTCATTACCACACAGTCTGTGAGCGTTCCTCATTGCTCAAAATGGCTCCTCAGGCTCTCATCAGTTGTTTCAAAGCTCAACCCTCCAATGAAGAGCTTCCTCAGCTGTTCCAGCTCTTTAGGAGACTCTGACTTAGACATGATCGCAGGGAGAAGAGAGACTTTAATGATGCTTCTTTGGCGGCGTCCCGAGAAATTTTCTTAAATTCTATGTCATTGATGATTTCCTTTTTAAATTATTTTTAAGGTGGGGTCTTGCTCTGTAACCAGGCTGGAATGCAGTGGCGCAATCTCAGCTCACTGCAACCTCTGCCACCCGGGATCAAGCGATTTTCCTGCCTCAGCCTCCTGAGTAGCTGGGACTACAGGTGCAAGCCACCACGTTCACGTAATTTTTTTGTATTTTCAGTGGAGATGGGGATTCACTGAGTTGGCCAGGATTGTCTCGATCTCCTGACCTTGTGATCCACCTGCCTAGGCCTCCCAAAGTGCTGGGATTACAGGCATGAGCCACTGTGCCCAGCCCGATTTCCTTCCTTTTATATTCTCTTTTCTCTGTAGAACCCGTTAGTTGAATGTCAGACCTTCTAAATGGGTGCTCTATTACCTGTATCTTTCTTCTTCTATTTTACTTTTCTCTGGATTTTTGCTCTACTTTCTAGAATATTTCAAGTTTTCTTCCTACCATTCTATTGAAATTTTCATTTCTGCTCATTTTTAATTTTTTTTTTTTTGAGACAGAGTCTTGCTCTGTCACCAAGCTGGAGTGCAGTGGCGCAATCTCAACTTACTGCAAACTCCGCCTCCCTGGTTGAAGCGATTCTCCTGCCTCAGCCTCTTGAGTAGCTGGGACTACAGGTGCGTGCCAGCATGCCCAGCTAATTTTTGTATTTTTAGTAGAGACGGGGTTTCACCATGTTGGCCAGGATGGTCTCGATTTCTTAACCTTGCAATCCGCCCGCCTTGGCCTCCCAAAGGCTGGGATTATGGGCGTGTGCCACTGCGCCCAGCCTCCTTGTTTTTAATTTCTAAAAGCTATTGTTTTTGGTTCATAAACACTTTGTGTCATTGAGATTTCTTCTCTCATGTCTTTGAAACTATTAATGAAGTTTTCTTCTTCCTGCATAGTTTCTGTTTCCAATTAAATGTTTTTTTTTTTTTTTTAACTTTATTATTATTTTATATAGAGATGGGGGTCTCACTATGTTGCCCAGGCTAGTCTCAAACTCCTGGGCTCAGGTGATCCTCCTGCCTTGGCCTCCCAAAGTGCTGGGATTACAGGTGTGAGCCACCATACCTGGCCTAGTTGGGTCGTTTTAAAACATTTGTTTTGCCACTGTCTTTCCTATTATAGCCATTCCTTACACATCTAAGAATCTGTGGCTGTCTGCTTATATTTAAGGTATTTAAACTGCTGATTAGAGTTCTGAGTGCACAGCAGGACTTGGGGACCCTGGGCTTCACTGTGGGCTGACCTGGATCTGCTGAGGAACCTCCAACTGTAGTCTCAGGTTTTCCTATCCAGGTAGGTCCAATTTCCAGAAAACAGTTTTCCTTTCTCTTGATAAAGGCCTGGCTGCCAGCCAGGCAGCTAGGGGGAGAGGCAGCTAGGGGGCTCAACACCCAGTATGCCAGGATCCACTTACCCGTTTTGTTTTCTTGAGATAGGTTCTCACTCTTACCCAGGCTGGAGTACAGTGGTATGATAGTGACTCATTGCGGCCTCAACCTCCCTGGGCTCAGGTGACCCTCCCACTTCAGCCTCGCAAGTAGCTAGGACTACAGGTGTGAACCACCATGCTTAGGCGAATTTTTGTATTTCTTGCAGAGACAGGGCTTTACCATGTTGCCCAGGCTGGTCAGCCTGTTTTTCGCACTGAGTCTGGCCCTTAGCCGTGCCTGGGTCTCTCTATTCCAGAAATTCTCTGTTTCAAACTTTCCAAGGAGAGTCATCTGCCTGCCTTTTGCCAGAGTGGAGGAAGGTAGTTCTGGCTGTGTGGTACAAGGGAGGGGATCTGCCTACCTCATGGGCAGACTGTCCACCAATCCTCTTCATTTTAGCTTTCCACCTCAACTTCTAGAGGGACCTGGTACTGTTAATTTCTGAACCCTTTGGGGGATAATATCACAGTATAAATTGGGTAATTTCTCAGCTTTTCTTTCTGCTAGCTCAGGATTCTGATTTCCTGGGTCTACTAAGTCATTTAACATTCACTCTGTGTTTCCAGCTTCTAAAAGCTTGTTGCTGTTGCTCTTTTCCCATTCTCCAAACACATACTTAGAGACTTGTGCTTTTTTTTTTTTTTTTTTT